GTTTCTGTTTGTCTCAGTGTGCATTATAGAACAACTGACTTGGGATAAAGTGTGCCACATTGTGTGTTTCTGGGGTGTCACAGGGACGGATCAGATGGAGGAAAAAGAAGAGAAGACGTGAAAACAATTGGGAATGAGAGGATGTTGCTACTTGGACTCTTCTTCCCAAGAGTACATATCAACATTGACATTGATACTGACTTGCTTTAGCACATTTTGGAAACTTCTTCCTCATCTGGTTTAGAATGATTTGAGTTAGGAGACATCATGCCACCTAAAAAAGGTGACACAAAATCAGCTGCCAAGAAAGGCAAGTCAGAGGAGCCAAAGAAGGGAGGAAAGGATGACAAAAAGGGAGGGAAAGATGACAAGAAAGGGGGAAAGAAAGCAGAGGAGCCACCAGCTAAGGGGAAAGGGAAGGATGATGGGAAGAAGGGAAAGGGAAAGAAACCTGTTAGTGAGTCAGAGGAGGGGTCTGAAGAAGAAGAAGAGGAAGTGATGAGTGAGGAGCAACAGGATGATGAGAGCGAGGAAGAGGTAGTTACTAAGAAGGTGGCTAAAGGGAAAGGGAAGGCAGCACTGAAGGGTGCATCAAAAGCCATGGCTGTGAAAGGTTTTAAACCTCCTCCTAAACACTCACCTCCATCTGATGATGATGATGATGAGGAGGAGGGAACTAAGGGAAAGCAACAGGTGAAAAAAGGGATGGGTGCAGTAAACCTGAAAAAGATGAGTGATGTCCACATCAAAGGAGCCTCCAAAGCCATGATGGGCTTTGCTGCAGAGGGGCAGAAGAAAAACACGGGTGCAGGAAAAGCACAAAAGACAGCAGATCTGTCTCAACTCAAAGGAGCCTCCAAAGCCCTTTCTGGCCTCACAGGAAAGTCCTCTCCTTTTTCCTTACCCTCTAAACAACAGCCACAGAAAGCAAAACCAAAGAGAAACCTTAAAAGCACCTCCCGCCTCTTCCTACGACTCTCCAAGAAAAAGAAGCCCTCTGCTGGTGGTAAACCACTTCTAGGCGCCAGCAAGCTTTTTTCTGGGTTTGGGGGTAAATCACCTTCTGCTGACAAAAAGCCAGGCCTGTCTGGCTTCAGCTTGTTTAATAAAAAAGAAGCTGCACAAGAAACCCCGCCACCTAAAAAGACAATAAATCTATCCGGTTTAGGGGGCCAAGGTAAAATGGCAACAGAGGCAAAGGGACTGGGAGGGAAGTTCAAAGGCATGTTTGGGAAAAAGAAAACAGCATCAGCCTTCAAGGAGAAAGGCTGGATGGTGGGAAGGATAGCTGCAGCAACTAACTGGTTGACAGGGAGGTTTCTGACTGCTAAGGGCCAAGGTCGGCTGGGGACACGAGCAGGAGGACGGGACCGAAAGCATTTGTCATTTGCTAACAGGAACACTAGAGGGAGACAGACACATAATTACAATGAAGCCTATGAGTATGATGATGATGAGTATGGATATGAGGAAGATTACCATGACAGGCTGAGGCCTAGAGGCTACCCGAGACAACCCATGGCCTATGACCCATATGACCCTTATGGAGAAGAAATGGAATACTATGACGATGATGAGTGGGAAGATGAATATGGTTACTATGACGATGAGGGCAATTTTTATTATGATGATGAGTTTTACTATGATGATGACGTGGATTACTACAGTTACCCATATGGCTATTATGATGATGAGTATGAAGAGTACTATGGTGATGAAGGGATGGAGTATTACTATGGTGAAGATGGAATGCTGTATGCAATGGAACCAGAGCCATATGGTTACTATGATAACTATGGTAATGCCATGCATAGTTTCTATGACCCATATGACCCTGAGCTGTACGGAGATTACTTTGACCAGAATATGGGTTATAACAATGTAATGTCAGCACCTTATGGAATAATGAGTGGTGGTTATGATGTTGTTTCAGACTTATATAATGACCCAATGCTGGGATATACAGACCATGCTGCCATTTATAACCCCTATCAGCAACCTTTCTATATGGATGCTGGACTGGATCCAGCTGAGACAGGACAGCTATATGGACAGGAGCAGCTGTCTTACCTTCCTGTTGAGCAATTTTCAGCAGAGCAGTTCAGGGTCCCCAGGCCCCAGGTTAGGCTATTTGGAAAAGACAGACTAGAGGTGGAAAACCTGCCACCTCCTCATCCTCAATTCTCCTCCCCAATGTTTCCCTCTCCCTCCCCAGCTCTTGCCCTCAACAATCTGGAAATGATGTCAGATATTCAATATGAGCAACCCCTTCCCACATACCTTCCTGCACAATCCCATTACCCTACTGTCATGAACCAACAACAAACCCCCATTCTTTCTAGAAGAGCGCCCTCACCAACAGCAATGATCATTCAACAGGATCACTTCTCTTTGCCTCAGCCTACTCACCCTCCTTTCTCTGTTTCTCCCAGTCATTTGTCCCAATCTCCACAAACATTTCATATGGCTCCGCAAATGTATCAACCATCCCTCCCCCAAGACCCACAAATGTTCCAGATGGGACAAATGTCACCAATGGTCCCACCAATACAGCCACAGATGCCTCCGCTGATGTATTCACCGATGCATTCACCAATGGCCTCACCTATGGCCTCACCTAGGCCAGTGCGGCGAATGAGTCCCCTTCCATCCCCACAGTTGTCAATGAGACCGGGATTGGCTAGGTCAATGGCACCTCCTTCACCCCGCCTCTCACCACATCACATGGACTTCCAAACAGGCATCCAGCCGGACCCCTACCTTTCCCCTCGCTTACATAGGAGAACTCACCAGGCCTCAATAACAGGCCAAAGGCCAACTTCCACATTTGACAGACGAAGACCACCAAGCCCACCTGCTTCTCTACCACCACAAAGGAGAGGGATGTCAGTGAGATCTCAGCCACCCCTGACAAGAGGAAGGAGGGGTATTGGGTTGCGCAGGGCTCCATCAACTGTCCGACCACAGTCCCCATTTTCTAGCCCCCTAGCTTCACCCCGGGGATCACTGAGGAAGAGAGCAAGCCCACCACCTTCCCCAAGACTATCTTTCAGGCAGCAACCCCCTCCAGATGCAGTGCCTCTGCCATCCACCAGACCGAATATGTTCAGAGGTAGAAAGCAAACTTCCAAGATGAGGCGTTCTCCCTCTCCTCCCCTTCCATCACCACAAAGACGGAGTCCCCCTCTACCTGAGAGAATTCAGTCCCCCCCCCAAACATTCCGCCCCACTTCCCCCCATCGTCCTCCCTCCCCTTCCCCATCACGTATCAGTAGTCGCCCACTCCCCACCAGGTCCTCTACTCGCAGGCTCAGAGGTGGTGCTGGAGGTCGAAGTCACGTGCCAATGGGGGCCGTGAAACCTTCCCCAGCTAACCCCTACTTACAAAGACGCAGTAGACATGGACCCCCTGTCACTCAGCATGTAGCCCCATTCAGGTCTTCTATCCATAGTGGTCCAGCCCCTCCCTCAGGACAGATAGGGGGCATAACTGGCACACCCATGTTAGCCAGGACAGGATCTAGACCTACAGGGTTAAGGGAGTCAAAGAGAATTGGTACCGCCCAAGGAGGCTTCCACAGACCTGTAGGTAGGGGCCAGCCATTAGTCCGTATGCCCAGAAACCAGCCCTCTCTTCAGTCTAGGCAGTCATTCAGAGCACCTCCCCCAATGCCACCTCTCTCTCCACAGCCTTCTTTGAAACAGAGTGGTCCCGTTTCTCCCCAGCCATCAGTGCGTAGACTACAGAGTAGACCTGCATCTCCACAGCCACTGCATCGTCCATCTCCTCTGCCCTCGCGTTCAGCTTCCCCTATGCACCATATGTCTCACCCACCGTCCCCCTTTCCCCATAGGGCTATGAGTCCCCAGAGTCTAGGGCCAACATCTTTTCAACCTCCAATGCCTCACCCCAGTCTTCCTCCCGGTACTTTCCCACCATCTCATAATATCACCCAGTATGACTACTCAATGATGGATCCAGGCCCATCCCCAATGCTTACAAATGCGTTACCAAACCCTCAGGTAGTAGGTGCTCCCTTTCCTCCCTCTCCTTTTCCCTCTTCCACCACTGCTTACTCTTCTCCTTTACAGAGACCATCCTCCCCCCAAACACAGTATGGTGTCTACTCTCAAAATCTTCCTCAACCTCCACCCTCATCACCTTATCAGGGACGCATGCTCCAGAACCCTTATCTGCAGAATGCCAGTATCACCACACCTTTACAGAGAAGCCCTTCCCCCATACCTGGTGGGCAAGGGGAGATATTAGCTGATGTACAGGGGAGCCAGGTGGGGAGCCCATTTGCCAGTCTTGGTTTATCCAATGCTTTGATGCAGAACTCCCACCTGCGCAGTGCGTCTTACTCATCTCCTCTACAACGCAATGCCAACCTATATACAAGTGTCCTCTCACCACCTCAGGTAGCAGCCCCTCCAACCCCTTCTGTAGCCTCCTCCCCATACTTGTCTTCTGCTATGCTTAACTCCCAGCTACGTAATGCTTCCTTTGCCTCACCCTTTCAGCAACACCTCTCCCCCATGTCTCCTGTCTCTTCTGCCCCTCCTTCCACTGCACCTCAACAAGGGACAACCAGAGGGACCTCCTCACTTTTTTCTGGTGGACTGCGGACATCCCAAATCCAGGGGTCAATGTTAAGGCTTCCAGGTGGTACTTTGACAATGTCCCGGGGGCCTGTTGAGCCTCCAGTTACTAGTGATGGTGAAACTGGTGGAAGTCTGTCACCCACTATGCTATCCAATGCCCTGCAGAACCCAAGCCTACGTCAGGCTACCTATCGACTGCCCGATGGTTCATTGGTCACCAGAAACTGAACCTGCTGAACTTCCTCAAATCCATCACCCTCTCATCCTCTATGCTGTCCTCTGCCTTGCTCAATCCAAGCCTACGTAAGGCCATATCGACTACCCGATGGTTCATTGGTCACCAGAAACTGAACCTGCTGAACCTTCCTCAAATCCATCACCCCTCTCATCCTCTTATTGCTGTCCTCTGCCTTGCTCAATCCAAATTTGCGACAGGCCACATATCGTTTGCCTGATGGAACTCTTGTAACTAGGACAGAGCCTGCGCCTGCACCTGCACCTTCCCCATCAATGCTTTCCTCTGCACTGTTGAACCCCAATGTACGTAAAGCCACATACAGGCTGCCAGATGGAACTTTGGTTACAAGAAATGAGCCAGAACCTGAGCCCCCTTCCTCTTCTATGCTCTCCTCTGCCCTTCTCAATCGCAATGTTCGTGGGGCTTCTTATCGATTACCAGATGGTTCAATTCTAACACGTCCGGGAGATGAGACGCAGAATGCTGAGAGTATAGTATCATCACCAGGGCTATCTAGTGCCCTGATGAATGCTAACTTGCGTAAGGCAAAGTTTCAGCTACCAGATGGATCATCATTCTTTTCACAAAACCAAACTCAAGCTCCCACCTCTCCTCACCTTTCTGGTGCAATGCTAAACACCAGCCTCCGTGGTGCCTCCTACAGACTCCCAAACACATCACTATTAAGGCAGCCTGGTTCTGCTGATACCTCTGAGTCACGATCCCTTGACCTTTCCAATGCTCTCCGCAACCAGAACCTCCGATCTGCCACCTATCGTTTGCCAGACGGAACTCTGATGACCCACTCTCAACCCGCTTCTGCACCCCAAACACTTGACCTGTCTAATGCGCTATCAAAAAACCCAAACCTTCGTGGGGCAAAGTACCGTCTCCCTGATGGTAATATCATGACACGGCTTGGTGCCCCTAGCACCCCAGAACCTCGCTCACTTAACCTTTCTGGTGCCCTACAGAACCCTCACCTCCGGGGGGCCTCTTTGCGCCTACCCTCGTATGCTGTAGTGTCACCCCAGGTCCAGGGTTCGGGCCCTGAACAGCACTGGGCACAGGGCCCTGGAATTGAAGGTTTGAGACTGCAAGATGTGGATGTGTGGGGTGCAGAGAGGTTACTGCCTCACGGGACAGTGCAGAACCTCAATAAGTGGTCCATGTATAGAGATGGGGAGTTGCTGGACCCCCAAAGCATGATGAGACAGGGACACATGGGTCATGAACCAGGGGAGTGGAATCTCAGCAGGGAGGGGGAACCACAAGGGCAATGGTTTGACAAGGTAAACATTTTAAATATATGACTAACCTGACTAGTAGGCACAATAGCTAATGTTGGGCACTATACTATATGTAATCTTTATGTTTCTAGAATCTTACAGTTGTAAATGTAATGATCTGAAAAACTGGAATGGTAATCAGAGGGATGGTAGCTTATTCAAGTAACTTATTAATGTGTTGATGGTTTCTGAAAGGGCAGAATATATTATTAGTATAGGTACAGTGAACAAAGGTAAGGCAAAATGTATTTATGTAATAATTTTTATGTAAGTGTGTGCATGTTTCAGTGCATGACCCAATTGTGCACAGGGCTATGTACAAGCATCATTTCTGATTGTGTATGTGTATCTTTTAGATGTACTCAATCAGAAGCTTATCCAGCGTGGCTCTACGGGAGCAACGAGAGGAAGATGGAGTGGAAGATATGACACAGCTAGAGTAAGTTAAAGATCACACAAACCTGCGTTAACGCTTTGTGAGAGAGACTTACAATGACAAATAAAATAATAAAATGTGTATTTAAAAGAGTTACATTTAAGGCACTCCATCACTTTCAAAATGTATTCCATTTGGTTTATCATTATTTGAAGTGTGGCTCTGGAGGTAGAGCAGGTCATCCACTAATCAGATGGTTGGGTTCTATCCCCGGCTCCTCTCTCTGCATGTTGAAGTGTCCTTGGACAAGATACTGAACCTTAATTTACTCCCAATGCTGTGCCATCAGTGTGTATCTGATGAGCAGTTGACACATTGCATGGCAGCCTCTGCCATCAGTGTATGAATGTGTGTGAATGTATGTCTATTCAGGCATTATAGAAGTGCAGCCCATTTACCATTTATCATATATGCCTATCATAATAGAATTGAAGCCTCAAGGAAATCATGGATTAGAAGCTTGTGAATGGGTTCTTGAAGCTAAAAAGTGTATAGTTTCAGTGGTGGGACATACCTAATGGTGGATCCAAACAGTGTAAACATGCAAAAGTGGTCTAGATGGTGGAGTGATTTGAAAAGTTCTTTGTTATCTTTAAATGCCATTGTCCTATTGCTTCTGTACAGAGAGATGCACGAAGGGGCTGTTCTGTTGAACTTGAGGAAAAGATTTGAGCGGGAGCTTATTTATGCAAGTATCTGAGCAGCACACACATCCAACATACAACCACCTACAAATTTAAAGTAAAATCAGTTTATTTTGAGTTTGTGTGTTTACTTTACAAAACCTATAGTTTTTATCTGGTGTTTCTTCTTTCTTTTCTTCTCTCTCTCTCCATTCCTTGTTTTCTTTCAGACATACATAGGTAGTATTCTGGTGTCTGTAAACCCCTATAAGATGTACAACATCTATGGGACGGACATGGTGCTGCTGTACAAGGGTTGTGCTCTGGGAGAGAACCCTCCGTAAGTCACACTGAAAGGGGACAGTAAACTGAAAACAAACAGATTGAGGCTAGAATTACCATAATTCTTATACTTATACTTTAAACAAATAGATCAATTTGTGGAACTGAGTTTCATCTTTATTATAAATTATTACTAATTAACTAATTATTATTAACAAGGCATTGCTCTACTTTGAATCTTTTCTTGTTGGTTGATTGCATTTATATGATAGAAAGGAACATGATGTGTTAAGGAGTAAAGTAAAGGAATGAAAGAAATGATGCAGATACATAATTAAGGCATGAAAGGGAAACAAATATTAGAAAAAAGCAGATGAGAAAGATAGAAAATAAGTGAAGAAGAATATGTTGGTGCTAAGAGTTTGAGTTCACTTCTTTCATCTCTGGACATCTTATAGCAGCTTCTCTTTCTTCTTCAGGCATTTGTTTGCCATAGCAAATGCTGCTTATTCCAAAATGATGGATGCCAAACACAACCAGGTCATAATAATCAGGTAAGAGGCTGACTCTAAAATCTTTCCACTCTCCATCTACCTGTAAATCCAATGTCAAAGTTCACAACCATATAGGATTTATACAAAGTACTTACGTTCATTATTTCACGATTCATAACTTCATATATACACCTGTACATGTATTTTTTACATAAATATATATAACATTATAGTAAACTGCCATGGTTTATAGCAGTTTAATCTTGGTGTACACAGCGTCCATGAGGCTTCTTGGACAGTCAGTTTCCATCTCCAATTGGATTAGTGTTTGTAAATTCATGAGTGTCTGTCTGTGGTTTTCTGGCCAGCAAACTTAAGACAGAGCCATCCTTCACTCCTCTCAAGCTCTGTCTAACTGTCACAGGTTCCTTGCTCCATGTCAAAATTGATCTCCACAGTCAAACACACATACTCTCCCACAAACATCATAAACTCATTTATATCTAACTCAGGTATAAAAGCATAGACATATATAGAGTACATCCACATATTTGCACATAGGTGTGTCATTTTAGAAAGGTTCAGAAACAATCATAGGAAATACACAAACACCTACACATGCACACACTCGCACACACCTGGAACACTCTAGCCGTATTCGGAAGGAGACACCTGTAAGGAAAGCCCAGCCAGGTCTGGGCCAGGAGCAGATTATCTTTCAGAGGTGTGTGTGTCCATGTGCACATGTGCTGTGTTTGTGTGTGAGTCACTGAGTGCGTGTTAAGGGGTAACTGAGGTCTGGTGTACAGTGACCAATAATGGCCCGGTTTTTAGCTAACCAGCCACTGATTTGAAACCTTATGCTGGAATGTGGTCAAGGTGCTGGTGTCCCTAAATACAAAAACACACAGGCACACAGACACACACACACACTTCTGCCCTCCTTTGGCCAAGCTTACATAATGGTGGTATTTAGCGCTAAGCTGTTGGCAGTGCTGAAGCACAGTGTGTGTGTGATGGTTTCAGGTGGTTTAACGCAAAAGTGGAATCGAGGCTTTGCCTAATGCAAGATTAGCCTGGTCTCACATCACTTAGTCAATTAAGTCAAACACTCCACAAGCGGCGCCACTGGGGAGGTGAGAAGGATCAAATAATCGACGCTCTAAGTGATTAATAAAAGCTGGGTTTAGTGGTGCTCAAAGTGCGGATAATGTTCACTATTTGGCCTTGCCAACAAAATAACTGGATTTTCCACTACTTGACCTTTTAGCTAATGGATTATTTTGTTGTGCTTGTCGGCTCTACATCCACTTTGACATAATCAACCATCATGTGAAAGTTTTCTATGCATCCTGTTTTGTAGTTCTGTATTTCACACAGCCAGTATGACTGGTGAGCCAGAATAATTCGTTTCATAACATTTAATTCTATCAATTAAGGTTTCAAACATACTATGGATGCTGGAGCACATTTTATTTGTTAGGGTTAATTTGCTATGGCCAGTTGGGCATCTCCTGTAAAGGTTTAGATAAAAGAAAAAAAAATCATATTGTCCAGTGAGTTTGTGTTACTGTGTTTCAGTGGGGAGAGCGGATCTGGGAAAACAGAGGCCACCAAACTAGTCCTTCGCTACCTTGCAGCAATACATCACAAATGCAATCTTGCGCAACAGGTGCACACACACACACANNAATAACAAACGATGCCCGCGTTTGCTGCCTCTGAACGTTGTTTTAAAAGTGTGAGTGTGCATCTGTGTGTCTATGAATCATTTATATTTTCTGATGTGTGTCTTGGGAACACGGAGTATGATGGGAGGCTTTCAGATGCATCATTATATGCCAGCATAGTAAACACACACACACACACACACACACATGTTCCTGTCTTGAAGGATGACTAATGCCTCTGTGTGTCTTTTTTCCACATCTCTTCTTTGGTGCAGATTGAGGTAGTGGGTTTCTGTGCATGACTTGTGCTATACATTTTACACTTCAACTACACATATGGCCATTAGAATAGCAGGTTGCTGTGTTTTGCTGTGGTGTGTGACAATATTCTGTTGTGTTGATGTTATCTTTTCTTGTGGATTTTCTTTTACTTGCTTTATAAAGTTGGTCTAGCATCCAACTATCTGATTGATCAGTATCCGAATAAACTAATGTTTGATCTCAAATGTGCAATTAGAAATATTGGACTTTATACAGAATCAAATTATGCATTGCATTTGAATTGTTTCTTGCTTGTTTTATTAAAACCTTGAAAACGGTGAACATGTCATAGGAAGATAGCATATTTGTCACCCAGCTGATAAGGTTGTTGATTTACTGTGTGTTTGAATGCCTGGTAGATACTCGAGGCAGCTCCTCTACTGGAATCTTTTGGAAATGCCAAAACTGTACGGAACGATAATTCCAGTCGCTTCGGGAAATACATAGAGGTTTTTCTAGAGGAGTGAGTATGAAATAAATACACAAAGCTACCAATCTCTGTTCCCATCACACTTCATCTCTTCTTCAATCACTTTTATTGAAGAATTTATTTAACTGAACTGTATTCTGTTTTTTTTTTTATTATAAAGTACTATATAACTGTGTTTTGTGCTTATTATTGTTATTATTATTGTTTTTGTCTCTTTTCTTGATTGTCTGTGATTCTTGATCTGTGCTCTCTGCTGCCTCTCTCTGTCCAGTGGTGTGATCAATGGTGCCATAACCTCTCAGTATCTACTGGAAAAGTCTCGTATTGTCTTCCAGGTGACACATGTAGACACGAACACGCACAAGATTACACTTTATATCTTATATTTTTCTGTATGTTAAAGCTTTAAATTTGTGTTTCCCCTTCAGGCCAAAGATGAGAGGAACTATCATATCTTCTACGAGATGCTGGCGGGTCTTCCCTCGCAGCAGAAGCAGGCTTTTTATCTACAAGACGCTGAGACCTACTATTACCTCAACCAGGTAGAAAGACACAGTGGTGCATAATCATCAGTTTTTCACCACTTTGCAGGAATGTCAAATTGGGATACAGATCACATTTGGAAGTGCCGTTTCTCTCCATGCAGGGAGGGGATTGTGGGATAACAGGAAAGAATGATGCAGAGGACTTCCTGCGTCTGCTTGCTGCCATGGAGATCCTTCACTTCACCCCTGAAGACCAGTCTGTCATCTTTAGAGTTCTTTCTTCCATACTGCACCTTGGCAACGTCTACTTTCAGAGATATGAGGTATTGTTTCCAAAAGGACATTTTTTTGTTTTTATTTTTGTTATTCATATCACTTAACTGGAGACGATTCAGGCAATTCAAATACACCTGTACATATACCACCAGATGAGAGGAATATAGTGAACTAAAAATAATAAATTAACAAAACCAAGACAATACAGAAAAATTATTACAGAAAAAGGCATTTTGATGTAATTAGAATATGGTGATTATAAGCACCAATCAGATGTATTTTCTCTCTCTTTCCCCTTTGCATTGCAGGCTGATGGCCAGGAGGTGGCGTCAGTGGTGAGCGCTCAGGAGATCAGAGTGGTGGCGGAGCTGCTGCAGATCTCTCCAGAGGGACTACAGAAAGCCATCACCTTCAAAGTCACAGTCAGTATCAAACTGGGGCATCCCTGTTTAATTAGATTTCACAAGAGTAATGCTCCAACATTAACTGCTGGAAAAAGATGTGTTTGAGGTTTGAATCTTTGTTATCATTATTAGTCTGGGTGGTTATTATAGGTCAGTCACACTCAATACATTTACAGTAGAGTTTGACCTAATGTTGACAGGCAGGTACAGTAACATGGCAGTATGCCAGTGTAGTGACATTAAAGAGACTGTATCGCCGCTCAGTGTCGTTAACCCAGAAACAATGACACCTGTTGATCCCATACAGAGAAAGATCTACTTGTGCACTTGTCTTGTACTCCTGACTTCCAGTGGTTGACTTTATAATACCTTCTCTAGCCAAGCTGACTACCTCTATACACCAACGGTTTGTGGGATGTAGGGCTCTAGGGTAGTTTACTATTTATTAATAATCATTCACATGTCCCCAGAATATTCAATGGAGACTGGTTGAGTAAACTATATTTACATTTTATTCAGAGAGAGAAAATGTCATGCTTTGTTGGAAGGCGTTAAACCTAGTCGAGTTTAAGTATATCTTTAATATCAAGTAAGAGTTTGTTTAAAAATTTAACTTATCAAGAACTATCTGTATCAGTAGAATTTAAAAAAAGTAAAAATAAGAGATTGATTAAGACCACATCTTTAGTTTTGGTAAGCATGTTGTTTAGTCATCATCAGTGATAGCACTAAATATTAAAAAAAAATTACATCTTGGATTTTAGTTACCTGTCAGGTGCCTTACCTCTAACCTCTGACCTCCACGTGTCTTCATTCATTCATTCATTCATTCATTATGTTTGGAAAGACAAATCTCAAATCACATCTGACCTCATGTAAAGCAGCCCGATTTAGTTTCCACGTGGTAACAGAATCTCTTCATGAAACAATTAAAACAGCTTCCATTAACTGCTCATAATGTAACTACACACACTTCTACAACACACAAACAAGCATGTTGGCACCCAGCCACTCATCCCGTACACATACAGTATTCACATACTTGCTATTGAGCTATGTTATTTTTCATTTCCGTTCAGGGTTCCGCTTTCTTTGTCCAAAACAGAAACTTTTTATTTTCTCGAGGATTTCAAGTTTACTTGACACATCATTATGCTTCTCATTGTCTTTGTGTTAAATCTTATGAAGTCTCTTAGCATCTTACCAGGCAGGAGCCAAAGTCCTTTAAATTCACATATACGTTTGGGGCGAATACTCACAAATAGTTTTTTAGGTCTTTAGGGGACGAATGAAGAAAATGAAGTGTGTAGTTTTCACAGTTAAGCCTACAGTCATCCTGCTCTTCCAGTCCAGCTTCAGCGGTCAATTCATTAAACACTCATCCTACCAACGTATTTAACATATATCGTCTGTGTTTCCTGCTGTCACAAGTCACAATGTCTGCTGTAAAAAAGGCCTACTGTCCAGCCCTAACAGGTACAACAGTACTAACAGTGAGGAAACTGTCAATCAAGCTCAGTATACACAAAAAAGTCTAATTGGGCAACATAAGTGAAACACTTATGTGAAACACTTATGTAGGTGGACTTGGTGTAAAGGGGCTTTATTTAATATTTAAATAGATTAAATTAGCTTTAGATTATTAAATAGGCGCCAAGATGAGACTAGACTAGACTTTTTTCTTTGCAGTCATTTTAACATGAAATAGTAGGGTAAACACAAGTGTTACCAATGATACTAGAGAGCCAACATGCACAATAGCAGCTTCCTGACTCTGTTTGACCTGAATGGAAGATAACCTTAATTAGTATCGTTGGTAACACCTGTGTTTACCCTACTATTTCATATCAAAATGACTGTTGTGAAAAAGGTCTATTGTTCACCCTTCGCCTCTCATAAAATGTGTTGCCTAAATAAACCCTCTGTCTTCTTTGCAGGAGACAATGAGGGACAAGATCTACACCCCATTGTCTGTGGAAAGTGCTGTTGATGCCAGGTGAGAGATAACTACATACCCAGCATGCACTGCATGAAGATGTATCATTTTTCCTCCAGGTATTTTGCATGTAATACCTTTCTGAAGGGAAAATGTCACTGAATTAGCCATTTTGTTCCCATTAAGATATATTTTTTAAAGTAGTTGAAGAAGTAATCGGATCCTTAAGTATGTAAATGTAAAATTGAAATAATTTCATTTAAAAAATGAAATGACTAAATTTAAGGATTTCACTGGACAATGGTAATCTGAAAAGTAACTAGTAACTGA